AATGTTCTTGCCTGCTATGAACTGAAACCTTTCCAACAGCTACCGGAAATTGCTAAATGCACAGCACTCCAGCAGATGTCGTCATCCCAATCGCTGTCATTGTAACGTTAAACTGAGATGAACAGCAACATGGGGATGATAACAGGTAGGATTTTTTAAAAGTTTTTGGTACAGCATTTTTGGATGCAGTAATATTGTTTTTGTAAAGAGCTCTGACCTGTTAGAAATTAAATAAGCCACTAGTGAGATTTATAAGCTGCCTATCTATAGAGAGATTTATGTTTGAAAAAAAAAAACAACAACATGATTTATATACCAAATCTCTTGATTTTTAAGACGAGAGGGTTAGTAACAATGCATAATGGGTCAAAATGGGTAAAGGATTTGTTTTCCATTATAAGTTTATTGTTAAAATATGGTCCTTTGTAAGAAATATAACAGGAGTAAAATACAATGTAAGATTAAACAAAAAAAATACAAAAAGATAGCATGCATAAAACAGAATATTTCAGGGAAATCAGGTATTATATAACCCCCAACTCAACAGCTTCAAAAGTCTTAGCAGTAGACTAAGTATTTTTATAAATTGTAGTGTATATTTATCTGACATTCTTTCCTTCACATGACAGAAGGGCATGAAAATGTGTAAATTAGAACACATGCATAAGCTGTACGGAATTCAAAGACAATATTTAGACAGGACTCAACTACAGGCAGCATTCCATGACCTGCTGACTTCAGAGTGAGTTTGGTTACATACTCGGGCTTTTAACTAGTGCTCCCTGTTGACTTGATTTGTTAGAAAGAGGAGAAAATGTGGGGAGAGGATGTTTAAGTTAATTTGTGCAGCTCTCTCTTCTTTACAATACTATTATTTATTACTATTGTTCTCTCCCAAAGCTATAATTAGACCTGGACAGAATACACAGCCACAAACCTAGGAAACTGAACATCAATTTCAGGTTCAAAAAAGGAAAGAGCTGCATTTCAAATGATTTTTCAAAGTAAATTACTGCAAACGGGGTGCACTGGATGGGATTTACACAGGGATATTACATCATTAAGATAGCTATTTAAAAACAAATAAACAAGAGACATACTTTATCAATAAATGTTGAAGTACATGAATAGCTGAGTCACAACACTATAGTGTATGTTGGTTGAAAAATCTTGACAGTCAATCAATAAAAATGAAGGGTTTCTGTAGATCTCAATACAGGGTTAGAGAAGTGCTGTGATGTGTATCAATGTTTGCAACTACACGATTTTTCCTTTCCTAAAGCCAGTAACAGAAAACTCACAAACTGGACTATTTTAATGTGAGTACATTACACATTTGTAAACATATTCACACATTTCAGAACACTATACACAATTATGCTGTAAATACCTTTTTTCCATGGAACAATTTCACTACAACAGTAACCTGAATTGCATCTTGGACACTGCAATCATTAAGACAATGTGGGAGTCTCATTCTACCTCACTGAAGTTTACTTTAGAGTTCATCACAGCTGATAAAGATAACTGAACAAAACAAATGGCTAAAACATAGTACTGGAACAAGAAATCCAGTTTGATTACCAATTGCTGTATAAAAATCTGCACATTAACTACAGTATTTATTAGTCAGACATTAGCATCCACACTGTCGAAGTATTTTCCTCACTTAAATAAATGTACCGTCATATTTAAAACCCTTACAATAGAGGTTTTTATCAGGAGCTGACTGGCCAAGGCAAGGATGCTATGCTATAAATATAGGCCACAGTGAACATGAATCCTCCCAAATATGGAACCTACCTTCAGATCCTCAACCAGCCTCTTTTCTAGGGTATAGGCAGCCTTTCCCCACTATCTGGTAAGCAGCCTGTATTTTTAACTAAGAGAGAATTCAAATTTGTTCCCAGCTAGGCAAAAATATAGGTAATTTGCCAGACAGGTCAGGATCCTTTCAGCACTCCAAGCACTCAGAGGCCATCCATCTCAGGTTCAAACAAAACAAACAAGATTCTAAGAACATACACACCTTTTTAAAAACAGAAAGAACCTACTGCCATAGTATGATCTAGATATTACTCATACCTATGGTGATGAATCAGAGTTATGTCTGTAAACTTATACATTCTGATTATATTGTGAAGGTGTTGTCAAGCTGTCCGGAGTGGCTCACGACTGTGATTGCCAACCTCATGGGAGATAGTCAAGAAGCAGGGCACAAACCCCAAATCAGTTGAGAGTTCTATACTTAGATCTCACCAACCAAGTAACAAGTGTGAACTCAAGAACTACGCAGCCTAACCATGGAATCATAGCCTTGGGTACTCCAATCTATCTTGCCACGGCAAACCTGCTTTTGTGATAGATGATCCCTTAACACAAAAATGTTCCGGTTATTCCCAGACCCAAAGGATCAGTCACTTACCCCATGTCAATTTCACCTTAGACCTCACACTAAAGACAACACTTGTAGACAATCCTATGATAAACTAGAGTTATTTACAAGGTTGAAGCAGATAAACATAGACACATAAATGAGTTACAGTCTTGGGTTTAAAAACAGTAATAGAAACTGCTGTAATATGCAAGCGCTATTTATTCTTTAGGGCTAATCCAAGCTAAGTAGCTTGGGGATCCCTTGCTTATGCTAAGAAATATTACCCCCTCCAAGTTTCAAGAAACATATTGATACAAAATCTTCAGGGTCAGAGATTTTTATTCCCTTTCCCCAGTGTTCAAACTGTGATGGGATGAGCGGTTGTGTCCATCCCCTCTTCATGGGACTGGGGGAGCAATCAACAAAGTCTGAGGTTCCATAATGGTTTGTCTGGTGTCTATGGGCCTTCTGTTTTAGGCAGGAGATGACACCTCCAGTGGTAAACTAGCATTTCACACTTGTTAATGCTGCTCTCCTCCCTGTGGGGGTTTCCAGTTTCCTAGCAACCACTTTTATAGTTACAAAGCAAATACTTGCATATTACTTTATAACACATGAAACAGATACTATAAGTGAAATTAATGCATGCAGTAACTCACAAGGAGTTCATAAAATCCAAAACGAAAAACCTCTTTCTATAAATCTAATACCCATTTTAACAATACCAACACACAGGTAAGTCAGACTGGTTTCCAGCTATGCATTTGTCAGTGTTCAGTGAGGCCTAGAGTCCTTGGCATGAGCTGGCACCTGGTCTGCCAGTGTCACAGTTGTTTTATGAAAAACACCTGAGTCATGAGTGCTTATATATATATACAGCCCCACCGTTGCCGACAGGCCCTGTAGCTGGTATGCAGCAGACAGATACAATAAAAGGTGCTTAAGACAACGAGTCTATTGAGGTGCAAACATCTGGGACAATGAGTGAGCTGCCGCCTTAGAAATCCAGTTTAGCTGACTCCTCTGAAGGGAGGAGCACTGGAAACTTTCAGGAGCAGAACAAAAGAGCAGATCACCAGATGGTGTTTAAAAAAACAACCACACAGGAATACGGAGAACCAGACAGGAAGGGAAAGAATAGGGCAGGTGAGATCATGTCATAGGAGCTGGATAAAGGGCTCCAAGAGGGAGAGACCACCCATCACATAATCACCTGCATGAGGGGATCCCTAGCCCCCAGGATACAGTTGATCCCCAAGGATTTCCAAGGGAAAGGTGTGATAGAAAGGGATGTGTGTAACATTTACTGTTTTGTATAATCTCTTTTGCTTTCCATGATTAAGTATAAGAGAGCATAAAGGTGTTAGTGTGTGCAAAGTGTAATGCTTCACAACTAATGCATGCCCCAGAGACAGACTGTAAACCAGAACCTTCACACCTTTTGGGTGGAGTTCTGGGAAATTGAGGTGTTTAAGTACCAGCGAGTCTGTACAGCCGGCACTGTGCCATGGGCTAGGCAAGTGGAGAACAGATTCCAACTTTCAAAAGGGGGTGCCAGATAGAAGATCTGTACCCTAGAGTGCACTTAGAGACTCTGATATTAGGGCAATGGCTGAACACCATACAGGCTCCCTGGATCCAGAGCAATAGAGCAGGGGTTCTCAAACTGGGGGTCGGGACCCCTCAGGGGGTCACAAGGTTATTACATGGGGAGTTGCGAGCTGTCAAACTCCACCCCAAGCCCCGCTTGCCTCCAGCATTTATAATGTTTATATATTTAACACCAAGTGTGTTTAATTTATTAGGGAGATCACACTCAGAGGCTTGCTGTGTGAAAGGGGTCGCCAATAAAAAAGTTTGAGACCAACTGCAATAGAGGCTTGTATTCCCCTCACAGCAGTCCAAGTGGATGACCAGGAGGAGGCCCTCACTAGGATCTGTGAAACCTACTAATAGAACTTGGAAGACAGATATTTTCTGCATATGTACAGCTCTCTGGCACCATACACATCTCCATGTGCATATGCCAGTTTTCACCAATTATTCATTGTTAACTGATTTACTAGGTAAACACATGAGAAAACCTTCACTTCCATGATGATCTAGAATTTGGTGGATGAGGCACATATTTTAGGAGTTCTGTCCTTTTAATATTTAAATTATAATTATGATGTTTTGTTGGTGTACTGGGTCAAGATATATGCTTTTCTTTTCACAAACTTATTGCTATCACTACTGGAAGAGTAGTTTTGTTGATGACAGTAAGTTACTTTAAAGAAATGTTTACCTATACCATTTTTCTTTTTCAAGATGGACTATGGAAGTGGTTGGGGGGGGGGGGAAGAGAGAGAAAGAAAGATGTTGACAAAACAGGACAGCAGATGTTTTGCCTAAATAACCAGTGGAGAAGAGAAGCGAGAGAAACAATGCTCTATTGGGTACATTTAGTGAGGTTTATAAATCAGAATAGAACTCAACTAAAAGAATTAAATGCAGTTTGAAAGGCAAGATAATCATATGGCTATGTTATTTCTAATTCGCACATTTCTGTAATATCTGCGTGTCACGAAATGTGACATTATTTCCTATCTGTTTGTAAAAAACAGGATTCTGTCAACCATACCTGTTCAAGAACTTCTTTGTAAGTGATAGCCTGTTTAGTGTTTGTTACAGGACTATCATAGATAATAGCAATCTTGTCTGCATGTCCACTCTCAACATGACGATCTACAGCATTATAACAAATATTCAGCTCTCCATCCACAAACCTAAAAGAGAAAAAGTACAGTGTTAGATAATCTTTCTAAACTAACTAGACTAATTTCTGGGGAGGAGAGATAACATTCAGTCAGACAACTGATGAAACACTGTCTTCAATTCAGAAGGCCCCTGCTGTTAGATTACTTACATTACCAACGTATGTCGGTATAACTAAGTTGCTCAGGGGTGTGGAAAATCCACACCATGAGCAACATAGTTATACTGACCTAACCCCCAGTGTAAACAGCATGCGTTGGTGGGAGAGCTTCTCCCATCAAAACAGCTTCCACTGCTCAGGGAGGTGAAGTATCTACGCCGATGGGAGAAGCTCTCCTGGTGGCATAGGTAGCTGTGACGAACTGGGACTGTTCTTACTGTGGTCTGTGAATGCTGACAGGGGAGTGTGGCTAGGATAGTCTGCATTGGGGGATGGGAGACTGCCCGAAGGAGAATACCTGAGCATGTAACATGAGAACCCAGGAAGGGGTTGGAGGCCAGGTGACACCTTGGCCAGGGAAACTGAACAAAGGCTGTGGGAGGGGTCGCTGAAGGCAGAGTGTTGGAAGCTGGCTGGTGAGATGGCTGGGAGGCAGAGATGGCTCTGACCTCCCAAGGGGGGCTGGGATGCCCTGGGACCCCAAGATGGACCTAACTGAGGGGGGTCCTGTTGTCTGTGCCTGCAAGACCTGTCTTGGACTGTATTCCTGTCATCCAAATAAACCTTCTGCTTTACTGGCTGGCTGAGAGTCATGGTGAATCGCAGGAAGCCGGGGGTGCAGGGCCCTGAGTTCCCCCACACTCCGTGACAGTAGCATCTTCACCAAGCGCTACAGCAATGCAGCTGCAGCTCTGTAAGTATAGACAAGCCCCAAATCAAACAGAATTTGCTCAAAAATGGGTAAACAAGTGTTGTACTTAAAGTACTGCACAGGATCTTTTCAGGGGGAATAAGACAAAATGCCACATTTATTAGTAATACATGTATTCATTAACACTGTATCATATGCATATAATATATTACACTTACACTCACACACAAGTGTAATATATTATATGCATATGATACAGTGTTAATGAATACATGTATTACTAATAAATGTGGCATTTTGTCTTATTCCCCCTGAAAAGATCCTGTGCAGTACTTTAAGTACAACACCTTTTAGCAGCACGGCTGTAGCGGCAAAACCATGTTGCTAAAAGCTGCGGAGTGTAGCCATAGCCTCAGTCTTAT